AAAAAACTAAAATAGAATAATACAAATAACAAAATAATATGCTTGTAAAAAGAAAATAAAAAGATATATCTATCTGTCATCAAAAAACAAAATACATACAATTCCCAATATCTCTCATCAACAAAAAAAAATAAAATAACATTAACCAATCAAAATTAAAATAGAATAATAAAAAAAAAAGATAGAAAAAAAAAAAAAACTCTCGAAGTCGTTACTCCGTTCAAGAAATATAAAAAAAAAAAAAGAAAAAAAAAAAAAAAGAAAAACCTCCGGTGTAAAAAAAAACCATAGACTAAATCAAAAAAAAAAAAAAAACATCAAAAAAAAAATCAAAAAACAGCCTCCAAGAAATAAAAAGCACACTAAAAATTATAACGTAAGTGGCGATGTCGCTGCCGCAGGCCCTCGTTCGATGATCTCGGCTTACATGTCCGCGGGCTCCGTTTGAAGCTCTCACTGGACCTCGAGTTGCTTTCGTCTTCTCTACATCGTATCGGCCGTGAGCTCTCTCTATATCTTTCCAATAAAAATCTCAATAGTCTCTAGATTGTGTCTCTCTTCTTCCTACAGTCTTATCGCGGAGCGAGCTCGTTCAGCCTGTAAGTTGGCTCTCTCTTCTCCCCTCGAGGGTCATTTTACGTATATTTTCGTTCTTCTCGAACATGAGAACGGTAAGTACCACCCACACATACGTGAGAGCGGTTAAGTATCTATCTCAGTAGTATCTTTCTCTTCTCGGGCTGTCTCTTCGTCAAGGGTCTCCCTCAAATCGGCCTCTGCTCTCTCGTCGGCTCGGTCTTATCGTTCAGTCTCGGGTCTCTCTCTCTTCCTCAGTCTCTGGAGTCGTCTCCTCTCTCTCGTGTATCTCTCTCTTCTCTCTCTCTCTTCCCTACTTCGCTCTCTCTCTGTCCCCTCCCTCTCTCATGTCCCGCGGAGGTCTCCGTCCTCTGTCCCAGCTTCCACGCCCACTCTCTCTTTCATTAATATCGTGTCAGCGCGACCCCTACTCCACTTCGCCCGCACTGCTCCATTCGGTGCTCGATAGGGCGGCACGCATTTGCGTGTTCGTCTTGCGTCTCGCGCGTTTTTCTGTCCTCCTCTGGTCCCTCTTTGCTCTTTACCTGTCATCCTCTCTGCTTGTCCTGGATCTCTCCTTTCACTCGTCCGGTGAGGTACGGCCCTCTGCTCCCACTGCTCTTCTCTCCTTCCTCTCCTCCCTCGGATCTTCGTCTCTGCCCTCCCTCTCTCTGTTCTCCCTCTTCTTCTCCTCTCTCTCTCTCTCTCTCTCTCTCTCCCTCTCTCCCGTCTCTCTCTCTCTCCTCCTCTCTCTCTCTTCGCTATTCTCTCCGCTCCAATCTCTCTTCCGCATGGTAGTAACTCTCATCTCTCTCTCTCTTCATACAGGCTTCTCTCGTCTTTCTCTCTCATCTGTTTTTTCCTTCTTTCTTTCTGGTTTTTCTGGCTTCCAGGTGCTCCACGCGCATTACCACTGACGCCCTACACTTGTCACAGGGCCGAGTCCTTTCCTATTTTGTGCAGGTGAATTAGGAGTTGAATTTTTCTCTCGGGGAAGACAGGAAGTTGGTGTGGGGGATCGAAATGCTGCTCATTAAGCTTGATTGTACTTTCGCATGTCTGCTTTATCGGCATCTCCACCCGGCTGCTGGTCGGTGTAGGTCGGTCCTTTTCTTTTTTGTCTCTCTCTGTCTCTCTATCAGTTTATTTATTTGTCAGGATGTTCCACCCATTGCTCCTCTCTCTTCTTTCTCTTTCTCTTTCTTCGCTTTCTTTTTCTCTTCTTCTTTTTCCTTTCCTTCTTCTCTTCCTCTTGGGTTCTCTTCCTCTCCCTTCCCTCCTATCTGCATCTTCTCTGTCTCTTCTCTTCCACTTTCTCTTTTTCTCTTCTCTTCGGTCTTCGCTCCCTTCTCTTCTTCTTCTCTTCTTCTTTCTCTTCTCTTCTCTTCTCTTTCTCTCTTCTCTTTCTTCTCTCTCTCTTTCTTTCTCTCTCTCTCTCTCTTCTCTCTCTCTCCTCTCTCTCTCTCTCTCTCTCTCTCTCTCTCTTCTCTCTCTCTTCCTCTTCTTTCTCTTCTCTCTCTCCTCTCTCTTCTTCTCTCTCTCTCTCTCTCTCTCTCTTTCTTTCTTTCTCTTTTCTCTTTTTCTCTTCTCTCTCTTCTCTCTCTTTCTCTCTCTCTCTCTCTCTCTCTCTCTCTCCTCTCTCTCTCTCTCTCATCTCTCTCCTCTCTTCTCTCTCTCTCTCTCTCATTTTCATTTTGTTTGTTCCTTTCATACCTTCCCTTTTCCCACCGTCTCATTCTTGTCTTTTATATCACTCACCCATCTTCGCAAAGTCTTAATTAGTGTGTGCGTGTGTGTCTGTGTCTGTCTGCCTTTATATGTGTCTGTGTGTCAGTAAATGTCTCTGTGTTTAAGCACGCGTAGCAACAAATACTTCCCTTTACTGTTTAGTCTAATGAGAATTACCAAATGGGTCACTGGCAGAGACGTCAAATGCGGCAAACTCGATCTGTCTTTAGAATATATGTTTAATTGGATTTTCCTTTATTCGTTTGTGCATTGTGTTTGTATGTATTGTTGATTGCCTGCGTGCGTGACTTTATAGGGTATGTCAGGAAGGACGTCAGCTTGTGTGTATATCTGTATGTGTGGAAACGTTTGCGCTGTCTGTTTGAATTTGGTTCGGTTATCCGTGTGCTTGTGTGTGTGT